TAGCGGTGCCGCGCAGTCGACGGATATGCTTGTAAAGGAACGGTTTGTACTTCTGAGCCCGTTCAAGTATAGCTCTTTGAGTACGCAGTTTGTACTCTCTAATATATGAGCGGCAGATGTTCCTGAGCCTTTTAAAGGCTAGCCCATCAGCTTCGAGTCCCGTTTGCTTGTATCATGAAAACAGTTTAGACCGCTCGTCTAAAAGCCTGTGGATGGGCCGAGGGAGAGACGATTCAGAACTAGGACGTGCGAGAGCACGGGGGCTGAACTGCTTGTCAGCTGAAGAGACGATTTGTTCGACATGCTCTGTGAGATTCTCTACGGGGAGGTCCAGGGGAAGATCGTGAAACTGTGTCCCCTTAGAAACTCTCGTAAGGAGCCGAAGTTGGTACGCTTGAACGATCTGACCATTTGTGGAAATTCCATTCTTGTTTTTCAGACTATAATGTAGTCAAAACGCAGAACAACGTGGTTACTCTTTCAGAGAGGTGGAAGGTGATTTACCACGTCGATCTGATTGTCATCATTCATTATAATAAGATTTAGCAATGATTGAGCCTGACCTGGGTGGAACCTCGTAGGTTGATCTACGTGTTGAGTCCAGGAGTTTTCTAGTTGATTGTGGGGCTATCTTGGGAAGTTATCTCACCATCGGTGGGGTTTTCTTTATCAGCCTCTCTGGTGGACGACCTGTCGCACCCTTCGTCCGAAGAACTGCTCTGTTGTTGCCGATATCGAGCTGGAAGGGTACACCGCAGGAACAACCATTCATTGTGTGAAGCGTTGGTCCTTTATTGGCCTCCGGCAGCTGTCGCGGTGTGTCCAGACGCACCTGATTGCGACTGGAAGAATCCCCGAGGAGCCGTCTTCTAGTGTTAGTTGGGGCTAGTTTGTGGACCGGACTGGGTTTAGTCTGTTTTTTACTTTTCAGCTTCTTTTCCTTCTTATTCCCAGAGGCCTTGATTGAAGTCTGATTCTTTTCTATAAAACTGTTGTATACTGAGCTGGCCGCCATTGGTTTAAGGCAGTCTACTGTCTCGTCCAAGGGTATGGGGTCCGGGGAAGCGGGTTGAGACTTAAGAACCTTTGAGTCCAACCGAACTGCTGAGATGAATGCGCTTCTAAACAGTGCGGCGTCTCTAGGATCAACTTTTGGACCTTTTAGTTTGAGCTGTGAAAGTCTCACATGCAGCGGTTTATCTATGGAGACACCTTACAAACCGAACCAGGAGCGTTTAAGGGTGGGAGGTTCGATGAGAACATCATTGGCAAGCTTGGAAGACCCCATATCGACAAGAAGGCCGAGACGTCTGGGCGAACCTTTGGCGGTTAACCAGGTACAGCTAAGGGGTCTGAATTTATGCGGTTGTAGAAGGCTGCATATATGCTTACATATGCTTTCGAAGCTGGATTTGTGGAACGCAACCTAATTTGGTCCATACTTTTATAAGTATTGTGACCCATCTTTACCTAAACCATATCCATGTGATTGCCCTTTCATCTGATTCGATTGGCTCAACTTCGTGGCACATGCTAAGCTGGTAGCTGTGTCTACTGTATCAACTGATGTTCTACCATTACGCGTATCCACATCCATTTGGATCTGTAAAACTAGACATATTTTGACAACATCCTTTCACCAGTATTATGACCTAAGCTCCCTGCTTGATTAGAATTTGTCGTTTGCTCCTTGCTACTTGTTTCCATAATTCCTTCTCAGCTGGGCTGCACCCCAGAATGCCGATATTCGCCTTCCTATTCCAGATCCGGTTGGTNNGCGCGGCTGTATCTACCGCTTTGACTACATGCGTCCGCATTCCGGGCCGGGTAGAAGAACGCACCCCCTGCCTCATCTACAAGGTGTTTCTAGGTTGGGTGCCTAGCGTCTAGTCAGTCGCACATCAAAGTGACCAATGCCTAAATAACCTAAATAACCCAAATCAATCCACTGCTGATCGGAGCCCCTGAGACCATCGAACGAGACCCTTCAGAACTCATCTGTCTCACAACGTGAAGTGCATATATATTTCATGACAGTTTCACTCTGTTCTGCTTCACTCTATCCGCTCTTGTACCGGTTTCCGTCCAACGATCTGCAGGCCGCCTCTTGTTATTTTACTCACTGCTTGTCTTGTTTCCAATCATCCCACCATTCATCCGGTGTACCAGTTCTTGTTTTTCGTTCTACTTCCACCGACTTGCTCTCTTAGAGCATTCCGCCATCCCAAACCTTTTTTTTATTTTATACCTTGTTCACCCTGTGTTCCATTTGTAATTTTGTTCACTGCGACCTTCAATTTTTTTTCGTTTTGGGCTTCTTCT